GTCCACAAGTCTTAAAGTTGCCAAGTTTGGGGACTCCTGTTCTTAAGCAAACCCAGTCTTCTCTTTCTACAAATTAAGTACCTTAAAAGTCTTCCTTTTGTGTTGTTTTTTTGGGATATCCAGTCATGCAGATCCAACTAAGGCTGCAAGACTTTGGCAGAAAAGTTCAAAAAATCCCTCCCCACATCTTTCTTGTAGAGTGTCATGCAATAACACAATTTGTTACAAAATGCACCATCTAGTGGCCCAGCTGGCTATTTATTCCTTACCTTTTGAGGCTCTGGAACAAGGTAAATGACTCTAATGCACCCCTTGGAGTCAAAATAAAGGAAAACATTTTCAAGGCCGATAAACGTATTGCCACATCAGCATCCATGGACTGGAGTCCCTCAAAAACCATGGGAAGTGATGACACAGTGACGGCTTGACATCTGGGTGCCATGCAACATTCTTGCTTATGTGTCTAGTGGAGATTCTTAGTCCTTCAGATCATGGTGGTTCCAAAGGTGCTTCTTCAAGAGGCAACTGGACATTGTTTGTCTTTGAAGACGTTTCGCTTCTCGTCCAAGAAGCTTCTTCAACTCTGACTGGGCGGAGGGGAATGGAAGGATTTATATTGCAGAATGCAAATGACCCGCTGTCTGCAAGGGGTATCAATCCTTCCATTTTCCACCATCCAGTCAGAGCTGAAGAAGCTTCTTGGATGAGAAGCGAAATGTCTTCAAGGAAAAAACAAGAAAGTCTAATTGTCTCCTGAAAAGCATCTTTGGGACAACCATGACCTGGATGACTGAGAATTTCTGTACAGACTTTTAGCTGTGCAATTTGGAATGAACACCCTTGGAATGTTGTGGAAACAGGAATGGATTTTCAGAGGAAAAAATGGCAGTACTACAGGAATCAGGAGCATCACTCAGGTGATCTTGAGGACACAGATAAACCTCCAAGTGGCCTCAACGTCCCTCTAAAAGGATGCAAATGACCAGCTGCCTGCAAGGAATATAAATCCTTCCATTCTCCACCATCCAGTCAGAGCTGAAGAAGCTTCTTGGATGAGAAGCAAAACGTCTTCAAAGACAAAACAAAGAAAGTCCAGTGGCCTCTTGAAGGAGCACCTTTGGGACTGACGTGACCTGGAGGACGGAGAATCTCTACTGATTTTTAGCTATACACTTTGGGATGAACTCACCGTTCAAATGCTGCCGGAGTAGGAATGGATTTCCAGAAAAATTACGGACTAGAGGAACCATTTGCACTTCAGTTTGAGATGCAGGCAACATAGACTCACCCCACCTCCCAGCCTGCGCCTGGGTTCGTCAGGAAAGGGACTCAGGGCAGAAAACATGTTGCAGAAAGCACAGCTCCAACTTCTCAATAAAAGAATACGTAAAGGTAAAGGTTCCCCTCGCACATACATGCTGGTCATTTCCGGCCCTGCAGGGGGCGGTGCTCATCTCCGTTACAAAGCCGAAGAGCCAGCGCTGTCCGAAGACGTCTCCGTGGTCATGTGGCCAGCAGGACTAAACGCCTTCGAAGGCGCACAGAACGCTGTTCCCTTCCCACCCAAGGTGGTCCCTATTTTTCTACTTGCACGTTTTTTTAACGTGCTTTTGAACTGCTAGGTTGGCAGAAGCTGGGACAAGTTAACGGGAGCTCCCTCCGTGACCCGGCGCTAGGGATTCAAATCGCCGAACTGCCAGCCTTTCTGATCGACACGCTCAGCGTCTTAGCCACTGAGCCACCGCATGCATCCCTCAAAGAAAGAATAAGGTAGATTAATTTCACAATGGAGGTAAACAGAGCTGAAGAAGCTTCTTGGATGAGGAGCGTTACGTCTTCAAAAGAAAAACCAGAAAGTCCAGTGGCCTCTTGAAAAAAAAAAGCACCTGTGGGACATTCTTGCTTATAGTTGCTTGAATGTCTTACAGACAGAGATTCCACCTCTCGCTCCATCACTTCAGGAGTCTGGCAGCATCTTTCCTGACTACCGAAAGGGGTTAAAAGGCGGAAGGGAATGTGAGCTGCAGGTCACTCCCAGATGCAAGGAATAGTGGATGACCGATGCCCCAATTGGCTTCCTGCATTGTCAGTTCACCACAAATCCCCGGACTCTTTATCTCAACAACAACAGCAGCCGCAAAAAGGACGGGGTTGGAAGGCACAGCTCAATGGCACAAGACTCACCACTTCATGCAGGGGCTCAAATCCAAGCCGATCTGGGCTTTGACGCAACGAATGGCTGTGAGGATCAGGACGGTGGGGTTCGTAGCTGGGTCAGCACCATCCAGAGAAGGGGACCACTCCCCTCCCACAAGCAGCAGCTCCTCTGCCTTCTTTCCCAGCAGGAACTGAGGAAAGAGAAGCTGATCAGGAAAAACACCAACTGGTCCCCTGCTTTAGATTTTATTTTTGGGGGGTGGGTGGGGGAAGCTCCCAGGGAAGCTTTGCAGACAGAACTGCTCTGTCGATTAAACCCCGAGAAGGACAGAGGAGACATGGAGGTGACTAGGAGATTTTTTTTTTTTAAGATTAGATTAGAATCACTTTATTCTCCCTTTGGGTGTACACTAATTGGCATACATATTGAATTGTACCTTCTGGGTATAATCGAAGGGGAGTACCCTCTCAAAAGTAAAGTACTTGATTATTCATATACTAACAGCGGCACGAATCTCACTGGCACAATATTGGAAAATGCCCAACTTACCACCTATACACATTATTGTTCAAAAAATTTATGAATGTGCTGAAATGGAAAGGCTTGCACTAAAACTAAAAGGGAAAGATGATTCTGAATATTATTCGATTTGGGATAAATGGTACAAGTGGATAGACCGTAAGAAAAAGAACGTATAAAATAAATGAACCCAGGAAACATATTACTACATATATGTCTAATGACAGGAATTAATAAGATATTAAGTTTTATTTCTCTTTCTTATTGAATAAGTTACCATATTTGCCAGCGTATAAGACGACTGGGCGTATAAGACGAGCCCCCAACATTTCCACTCAAAATATAGTTTTTGTTATATACTCGCTGTATAAGACGACCCCCCCACTTGGAGGCATGTTTTTCAGGGCAAAAAAGTCATCTCATACGCCGGCAAATACGGTAAGTTGTAACACTTGGGGTATTCTGGATATAATTCTTGATTGACACCCCCGTCCCTTTCCCCCAAACTTACAAAGCCACCAAAATGCTTTAGAGAGGCAGCTTCGCCTTTCTCAGGCTGGCACTCAATTCCTCTCCCTTTCTTTGTGACAACCCCCGCGTGCGTGCATCGGGACTCCAAGGGTGGGGGATGGACAGCTGCCAACTCTCTCTCTCTCTCTCTCTCTCTCTCTCTCTCTCTCTGTGTGTGTGTGTGTGTGTGTGTGTGTGGTGTGGAGGGTAATTCCGGCTATCTCTGGCCTCCGCTCGGTTTTAAAGTCGCTTGGCCGGTTCCCAAGTCGCAAGCGCGCGCTGGCCAGGAGACGCGGCGCCGGGTGGCAGCTCGGTGCAGAGGAGGCGGATCTTTCTCTCTTAAGCGAGGAGGGGACAAGAGGAGGGACGGGACGGGACAGGGGGCGGGAGGAGGTCCCTCGCCTTCTTCCACCGCCCACCGGACCCTTTTCTTCTCAAGGGGACCCTGGAAAGCAGCTCGGGAGCCGGGTGGCCCTGCCCAGCGGGGTCCCATCAGGAACTTCCCGAGGACACCCCCCCTGCCCCAAGCACAGCCCTCCCGGTCTTTCAAAGAGGGAGGGAGTAGCGGGAGGAGCAAATTGCCGCCCCCCGCCCCGCTGCCCAGAAGGAGGGGCGCCACAGTCCACCGCCACCACCTTCTCCCTCCCACTCCCCGGGCCATTACGCGGCTCGGGGCTGGCTGGGCGAAGCGGCCCCGCCAGAGACCTTCCCGCTCCACCCCCACCCCACCTCCAGATTGGCCTCCGCAAGCGCCCCGAGCCGGGCGGAGGGGGGGGGAGGAGGAGGAAGAGAGACTCCGGCTGGGCTTGAAGGGGCTTCGCAAGTTGCGGAGCCCCGCCCCCGTCGCTCTTGCACCGAGTGACAACGTATTTACCGGCGTATAAGACGACCCCCCCACTTGGAGGCATGTTTTTCAGGGCAAAAAAGTCATCTTATACGCCGGCAAATACGGTATATAAAGGATTTATTTACAAAATAACACAGTTATAATCCAATAATAAGAGACTATTAAATAATATATAAGTATTGAGTTTACTAGGGATAAGGAATATTTGCCATTCAATATATGTTATGAGTTACTTAAATCACTATCAAATGTATTAGAGAGAAATATGATTTGTGCTGATGTCTATTTGTATGATTACTTTTTTTATTCTTGTATATTTGTATATTTTAATATTTTGTACTAAATGAAGCATTTTTTAAAATTTAAAAAAATAAAAATAAAATAAGATAAAATGAATTTTTGTTGCATACAGCTCTCAAAGGTCTCCACCTCCAATATACATTACATAAACATGACAAACTAAATACATATAAAATTATGCATATACCCACATATATGACACAGAGAAACAACACAGTCTAGTTCAGGTGTCTACATGTATGTACATGGCGAGAAAAACGAATCTCGCAAGTACCAGATGGATGGCATAGGGAACAAAGCTGTTACAGAATCTGGTTGTCCTGCTAGAAATACTTGGAAACCTCCTCCCAGAGGGGAGCAACAGAAACAGACTGTGAAGTGGGTGTGTGGGGTGTCTCACAACGCTTCGAGCTCTAAGCACATAGCGCTTATAAGCAGTATCCTGAATAACAGGAAGCGAGCTTCCTATAATCTTCTCGGCTGTCCTCACCACTCTCTGTAGGGACTTTCTATCTGCTACCACCAAACCAAACAGGGATGAACTTTGTTAAAACGCTCTCAATTGTGCCTCTGCAAATAAGTGGCCAGAAGGAGAAAGATATGCTCTCCTCATTCAACACGCAGGTGCTGTGTTTACACACTTCACTAAGGATGACATGTGGAGACCAGTTCAGATTGTTAGTTATCTGCACCCCCAGATACTTAATACTGTTGACCGCTTCTGCAGCTGCATCCTTGATACTGAGTGGAGTATGACCATGCCAACTCTCTAAAATCCACGATGATCTCCTTTGTTTTATTAACATTTAGAACCAGGTTACTTTTATTGCACCAGTTCACCAGAGCCTCCAGACACTGCTTTTCACAAGGATGGTCTAGATATCCACCTGCCCCAATGCAAAATGTGGGTCTATGGAAAAAGACTGGCTGACGAAAACAATTCTATGTGGAAGACACCCCAAGAGGAAGGAAGGATGTCTGATTCTACATCCCTGGTTGATGGTGAAGCCAAGAGATGTTTCAGAAGGGGGCTGCCCTCTTTTTTTAGACTGAAGGATATCTTTATATGATATCCTAGGATCACAGTGTAAAAATGGGAGGGCTTGAGAGCCGTAAGTAGTTGATTTTTAGAAAATGTACGGTGAACAAACCCTTGCCAGATGAACTAAGAACTATTGAATTATGGACAGTTACTTCCTTCTCTGGTGAGGAAACCTTCAACATATTAGCTAAGACTTCTTAGCTGCCCAAGATAAAAGACATGAAGGTGAAGCCTACAGAATGAAAAGGAAACTGAACTCCCGAACAACTCTAGCCCCTATGATTGCTCCTTACTTATTAAACACCCCATTCTGTCAATACAATGATCAAAATTTGCAGGCAACACCTGCATTTGGATACAAATGCAACCCATTTACATTACTTCCAGCCAATGTTGCTTACCTTAATTTGCTTTGTGGGGTGTTCAGGGATTTCCCTCTGGTCGCTGGGCTCCTCAATATAGAGCAGACAATTGCGGTAGAATTCCTCAATGCCAGGAGAAGAAAGCAGCAGAACCTACACCGGAGAGCAGTGTGAGTGCAGCAGCAGAAAATCCCCCCCAAAAAATCCACTACCAAAACTTCAAACAAAAGAAGACATCAATGCGCGAAAATCTCAGAGAGGCTTCACAAGTTAGAGAGGAGGATGGTGGATTTAATTATGGCATTTGAAAAAAAGTCCTGTTTTTTTTTATTTCATCAGCAAAAGATTATTGCTAAAGTAGGAACCCACAGAGAATTATCTGCCTAGCCGAGTTAGAATGTCCACATTCTTACTCTGGTTTAAAGAGGCACTGAAACTGTTTCATGCAAACCTTTTCCTTGAATGATTCTATTCTCTGATTTTGAGATTGTTTTTTTTAAAAAAAACAGGCCTGCTTTTCAATCTGTTTATTTTAACACTTGTTATCTAAAAGCTGCGATAAAAGGGAGTAAGGGAGATAGGCAGTTAAGAAGTGTGAAAAATAAACAAAAAAGAAAAACATTGCCTTATAATCACCTTTATAAAATAAACAAGATTTTACTAATGCAGGAGGTTTCCACGCAGGCATAGTAATTTTATCGGTGCTCCCAAAAGGGAATCTGGCAGAATAGTTTGCAAGCAACATATAAAGCACCTACCCATTTATTTCCTAACTAGTGTACTTTGAATATTTTAAAATAAAGACTAAACAGAAAGGCGTTTAAATGGATTTAAACCAAGAAAACACAAAGGAAGGAACACTACAGCGCGGGCCGTGATCACCCAACAAATTCAACCACAAGATAAATTTATGCAGCAGCATTTGTGGAGAAGGTACGAAGCATTAATTGAAATGTGCTTCTCATTTCTGCCCAAACAGCCCCGCAGGATTCAGTTTAGCTCAGCTCAGCTCATTAAAACTATTTGCGCTTCCTCTTTGTCAGCTATGAGGCTCCTGCTGTTGAAGAGAACGGGGTCCCAAGTGTTCACCTTGGCACTGAATGCGGGATTGGCGTCCTCCGGCTGAGCCTCCTGCTTGGTATCCTCTTCAGTTGGAGACAATTCTTCAGCAGGACTGGCCACTTGGATACGACTAGGGTGCTTCAGGGTCAACGGTTGGCTAAGAGGGAAGGTGTCCAACCAGCAGAGGCGGACATCATAGAATTCCTTGGGCAACTGGATGTTGCAGTAGCGCCTCAAGATTTCCATGGCATCACAGAAGGGGCTGCCAAGACACAGAGACACAGGACCCCCTTTTTATAGGACATCAAGACTCCCCCCCAAAAAAATAACAAAGCTTACTCAGAGCAGGTGGAAGGTTGAGTTTGCAAACATTCTGTGATGACCCAAAGGGGCGTGACACAAAAATAACAAAGTCACAAAAGAGGAATAAATTCCCTTTAATGCCTCCAACTTGGGCCCCAATGTCCAATTATCCTCGGCTGGAAATCAAACTTTTCCAAAAACAGTCTATGAAGGGCAGAAATGCAGTCCAAACCCAAAGTAAAGATAATTAAAAATAAAAAAACCCAACAGAAACCACACTGAAGTAATTAACACGGCAGGCCAGGATGATAAATTGCAGACTTTTAAAGGATAACTCAGCACCCACAGTTGGGAGGACGCCAAAACCCATTCCAGCAAGGAGCTGTTTGCAAACACCCCACTTATATCCTCTTCTCCCAGCTGCAACTAATGAAAGGGATCAGGACCTTTTCCTCTCCCATAAGCCATGTTGCTCCCTTCTCTGTTCCTCCCTGCGTGCCCTAGGATGAAGAGGGGATAGCCCTGGATCTTCCTCTGAAGGCCCAGCCGGACTGTGCCCTTCTCTCGTTTCCTCCCGAGCCACCAGAGCCACACTCCCACTCCCTGTCAGCTGCTCAATCTCCCCCTCAGAATCAGACTCCAACAAGCATGACACATTCATTGGAGCATTCAAATCAACACACTTAAGTCAACGTTGACAAGGCTGGATGTGTTTGTTTTCCATATCTAAACCAAACAGGGGCCAGGCATTCACCAAGCGTCTCCACAACACCACCACCCTATCTCTCTTTTACAAGAGGCCAAACCTGTGCTCTGTTACTAATGTGTCCTCGGGGCCTAAGAGTGAAACCGTGCATTGCTCTTATCTTGGCCAATATTGAGCTCTCCTCAACTTCGCTCCTCAAAGGTTTTGATCCTGAAGACTCTGGGAGTTGCACGCCAGCAATGGAGATACTGGGGGGGAGTGTGTGTGAGGCAGACCAGTGGTGGGATTCAACCTTTTTTTTAACCACTGGTTGCGTGCGCGCAGAGGGTTTGCTACTGACCTTCTTCTGCAATTCTTCACTCTCCCTGTGTGTTCAACAGCTGTCGCGTGACAATTCTCTGTGCCGCGCGAAGCAGCTGAGCTTCGAAACCAGGAAATAACCGTCAGTATAGAGCAGAGGTCTCCAAAGTTGGCAACTTTAAGACTTGTGGACTTCAACTCCCAGAATTCTCCAGCCAGCATAGCTGGCTGGAGAATTCTGGGAGTTGAAGTCCACAAGTCTTAAAGTTG